TAAAAAAAAAAAAAAAAAAAAAAGAAAACCTCAGAGGCCACCTCTGGAGAAGGTGAACATGTGCTAATCTGGCCTTGGTTGACGCCCGGCTGTCCTTTTACTGTCAGAAGTGGCTTTTTCTGGGCACCCTGCCTTTGCAGGGTGTAGACTAAGTACGTCACTCATTCGAAAACTGGTAAAGGAAGGAAGGCAGCATTTACCCTGCCTTTCCTCTCAACTGGACTCCGTGGAACTGAATAAACGTTGACACAACAGGAGCAAATCCAGCCTCATGGGGACAAATTAATCACACGGAGAGGACTCGGTCCCTCTTATTGCCACACACAGAGGGGTCAGCTCCGTTTTAAAGTAACACACCTGGAGGCTGCTGAGATTGTACAAGAGACACAGACTGCAGGAGGGCATGAGCTTAGGGGTCACCTGGTGCCAGTCACCCCCCTACCCTGCCCCGGCCTACACACACAGTCCTCCCCCTTACACTGAAGCTCGCAGCTCAGTGCTCACTCCTTGACATAAGGTCACATGACCAAACTTATAAAAGACAGATGTAAAGACCAAGCCCTGGGCCTCAGACCAGTGTATGCCAGAGTGGAGGCCACGCACAATAACAGAGGTATGTGCAAAACAGAGTGCTGGGTGTTCAGGCACAGCAGCCAGTGTGGGGCAGTTCTGACCGAGAGCCAGTGCTGGATTTGGCCATATTAACAAAAGCATAGTGTTTGAGACAAAGGAGGGGAAACTCTCCCGGTGGGGTTCTTTCAAACACAGCTGAAGCTTCTGCACTGCCTGTGCATAAAGGATTATCAGGCTCTGATGGTCTTAAAATAACATTATGGGCAAGGACTGAGGGATGCTTGGGGCCTACTCTGTCCCCTGCCCTGTCCCCTGCCCAGCGGGAACAGAGGACACGGGGAATGAGAAACTCTTTCACCTGGGACCAGCAAGTGGCATGGTGGAAAAGGTGATGGACACTTCCATATGGCTGACCATGGTTTGAGTCCTGGACCTGGTAGCTTCCCTTTTCACTCTCTCTTTCTCTTTCTCTCTCTCTGGTCGATTTAAAATCAATGAATGAATAAAATGAAATAAATAATTATTTTTAAAGAGGGAAAAAAAAAAAAACCCAAACAACTCCTTCACTGTTAACTGAAGCAGACCTGGGAACCTTCCACAGAGTTCCTGTCCTGCTGGGAAGAAGCGGGACGAGGCTGTGGAAGGGACAGCATCCCCCACACACCTTGTTGGAGCCTCTGAATCCTGCTAGGCCAGGTCCCAGTCCAGGACTCAAGTGAAGAACTCGTCCTTCCAGTTGCTTGGACGAGGAGACCACCACTGAGAACGACCCAGCTGGTGGTGATGTCTTGTTCACCTGCAGCCACCCCACCCCGAGTTTGTTAACCTAAACATGCTGGCCCCTCAACGTGTCCTTGGTGGCATGAGGACTATTCCTGTGAGGGTGTTCCTGTCATGTTTCAGTCCCCAGAACACATCTTGAGTCCACCTCATCCCCCACATCCAGTCTGTCCCGACCTGTGGAGGAGGTCCTCAGGTCACTTCTGGGGCCCTCCCAGGATCCCAGGATGACCTCACTCCTGACCCAACTTCTCCATCTCTCACTTGGGGCAGAGGGGCCTCTGGCATCAAGGCCTCCCCCATTCAGGCTCCTCCTGGCACCCTGGGGCTGTGGCTTGGCCTGCTAGGTGCCACTAGGGCCCAGGGGCCAACCCCCAGGAGTCTGACCAGCCTCCTGAAGCCCCCACCAGCGACTGAGGAAGTCCCCACACTGAGCACTGTGGGGAGAAGGCTTTGCTTTGATGCGACATTTGTTGGCGTTTTTTTGTTTTGTTTTAATGTTCAAGCTGTCAAAAAAGTATGTTTGCTGAGTTTGGATGTTTGTTTTGGATTGTTGTTCTCTTGAACAACATTGAAGGGGGTGGAAACGCCTGTTCCATATAGCCGGGATGGCGGACAGTGAGCTGTCAGGTGGCCAAGGTTTCCAGGGATGGGTGCTGTGTGTGTGCATGGAGTCATCTCCAGGACTGGAGGCCCCAGTACCCAAAGCTGTCACCCCTGCCCTGGCCTTCTGGAGCTCATGACCAGCAGGTGGTGAGCCGGAGCAGAGTGGCGCCTGGCACCGCTCCTCGTTCAGGTCCACTGAGCCTCCTGCAGCAGAGCCGGCTCTTGGGGACATGGCTTTATTGCTGCTCCTTCTTTTTTGTCCATTCCACATGCCTCGACTGTCCCTGCTCCATGTGATAACTGGGCTTAAGTGACACTTTCTGTCATCGGTTGTAAAACAGGCGTCTGACGATACCAGATTTGAGAGGAGGAACAAATAAAACCAGGTTCCCGTCGTAAGATGCATTCTGACACGGAAGGACTTTCTTTGCTCAAGGTCCTGCAGGCAGGCAGCCGTGAGACTGGGAAAGGACCCTCTGCCTCTGCGCTGGCCCAGCTCCCACAAACTCCTCCCCAGGGATGGGGTTGGGTGTAGGGGTCACTCGGACACTATGTGTATCTTGGCCTCAGGGACATTTCATTACTGGCCCTGGGAGGGGAACAGGAGGCAGGTGTGGGTCCTCCCTGCTGTTAGGCTCTTGACCCCAAGGTCACAGCATCCATGCCTTCGTCCCTATGAGAGCGGTGCCTGAACTGCAGGGACAGAGGAGGTGGCACTCTACGATGGGTCCTCTGTCTCACATGAGCTGGACATTTGCGGGTTAAGGGCAGCCCCAGAGACCACCTCACCCCAGCACAAGGAGGGCCTTACTTTCTTCACGCTAAGCCAATTCATGAATGGCATTCTCTCACCTCCATGATTGGGTCAGAGCTAGAGAACCCATGACCTCATCTGACCAATGAAAAGCAGGAATAGGGACCAGCAGTTAGCGTAATGGCCATTTTGCTGAACTCCCATGTAGTTGACCGCGGTTTACATCCTGGACCTGGTGGCTTAAAACTCACGCCAGGTGCGTGTGCGTGTGTGCCCAAGATCCCGAGAGGAGACTGGAGGAGAAGGGATTGTGGCGTGGCCATCCCCTTGGGGAGTGATTTCTAGCTTTCTGTCTCTCTGTCTTTCTGTCTCTCTGTCTAGTGAGCACACACAACCTATAGAAAAAAACCTCTCCCCCCCCAAAAAAAAAAGGCAAGAAAAGCAGGGAGTGATGGGGCCCAACTTCACCTTCCTGTTTAATTTGAATGGGAATGATTTTTAACTCAGGCCCCTGCAACTGTCTCATTGTCAAGAAGGTGAGCCTGTTTGAGAATGACCAAGGAGCAAACCAAAGGGAAGCCAAGTGTTAGGAAACTTGGAGACTTAAGTGCAGAAGCTCCTGCCTCACTCCCCACTTCCTTCCACCAGTACTTTTTATTTATGTGAGCTGATGAGTTTTGGTTGTCATTGTTGACGAGTCCGTTTCATTTGGACTTTCTAATTTTTTTTTTTTTGGGGGGGGGGAGAGGTTTTTGCTATAGGGCGCGTGTGCTCACCAGAAAGACAGAGAGAGACATAGAGACAGAAAGCGAGAAATCACCCCCCAGGGGGGATGGCCACGCTGCAGTCCCTTCTCCTCCATTCTCCTTGCGGGATCTTGGGCATGCACGCACACGCGCCCAGCGTGAGTTTAAGCCACCAGGTCCAGGACTCGAACTGCAGTCACATACATGGGAGTCCAGTGACATAACCATCGTGCCAACTGCTGGTCCCTGGACTTTCTCATTTATAACAGCCCTCTGACTGATACCTAGATTGGATTCCCAATTACTCTTTTTTTTTTGGGGGGGGGAGAGGTTTTTGCTATAGGGCACGTGCTCTCGCCAAACAGAGAGAGACAGAGAGACAGAAAGCAAGAAATCACCTCCCGGGGGGACTGCCACACCACAATCCCTTCTCCTCCATTCTCCTCTTGGGATCTTGGGTATGCACGCACATGCGCCCGGCGTGAGTTTAAGCCGCCAGGTCCAGGACTCGAACCACAGTCGACTACGTGGGAGTCCAGCGACATAGCCATTCCTCTAACTGCTGGTCCCCCCATTTATTCTTAAGAAACTCTCCCCAAATCTTACTGGAATCCTTTGTGCCTCAGTTTCTTCATCTACAAAATGGGGGTGATAATAATAACCCAGGCCTATGGTTGTCATGATGACAAACGAGTCGGTACTTGGGAAGGGCTCAGAAGAGTGCAGCAGACATAGTGAGGACGTAGTAATTGCTGCATAAATGCCTGTGATTATTACTACAGGTGTTATCTTTTAAGCACCTGGAAACTTCATCCCCTCTTGTGATCTCACCACCAGACAAGCCCCAGTCTGTCTTAGCCATACCTCTGCAGCCAAAAAGAGAGAAACCTCTGGGCAGAGGCTGGTTGGAATTTCCAATCATTTATCTAGAATCGAGAGCCAGATTTCCTCTGGGAAATATTAGTCCTTAGGTTTACAAAGTGCCTCGGTTGTAAATACCCATAAAAATGACAATTTGTGGGGTTGTATTTATTCTTAAGCCGGTCAGAAGATATTAGCGCGTTCTGACTGTGTAAATCTGCCAGCTCCAGAATTCCACCGTGC